AGTAGAGACGAGGTCCACCATGTTGGACAGGCTGGTCTCGAACTCCTGACCTCAAGTGATCTGCCTGCCTTGGCCTCCCAAAGTGCTAGGATTACAGGTGTAAGCCACTGTGCCCAGCCCACTAGTGAGATTTGATCAGAAACATGTATGCTAGGAAGTTGTTCTAATTACTATTGCTACCCTAACAACACCGGATTTAGATATTTAAAAGAATAATGATTATTTTATTATTTCTGGTGATTTCTGTGGCACAGGAGTTTGGGAAAGGCTGAGCTGGCTGGTTCTGACTCATGATCTCTTCTGAGGTCAGACAGTGGCTGCAGCTGGAATGGTGGTTGAAGAAGCTGGGGGCTGGCTGGGCACCTCTCACTCTCTTTATGTGGTCTCAAGGCTTCTCCAGGTGATTGCCTTTATAGGTTAGTTTGGGCTTTCTCAGATGGTAGGTACTTGTAGAGAGCCACTGTCACACGTCCCCAGGAAGCAGATTGAGATGTCGGGACATTTGTTGTTGAGTGATACTGGGACCATTACCTGTGGAAGGGAGGAGAAAGAAGCAGGATTAAGTAGAGAGAGAAACTGAATGGCAATGCTGTCCTAACGAAGGCCTCAGCTGACCCCGACAGGGTGCTCTGGAGCTGGGATGACCCTTCTGAGTTTGTCTAAATCTGGGCAAAAGGGCAGGCTGGTCCTTTACAGCTCTGTGTTAATCACTCACTGGATTCAGGCTTCCCCAAAAGGAGGTATAACCTTGAGTGAGGTAATCTTGAGCCAAGGCAATCCCCTACAAGGGCTGACAGTTTAGGGTCATCTTCCAGTAGTACTCCCAGTAGCTATAGGAACAAGTTCCTCATTCCTGAAGGAAAAGCTGGGTGGTACATCACAGTGTCCACCACAGTTCTGACACCATCTGTGGCTTTCCATAGAGGGACTCAGCCATTTTGTATGGACCTGGCAGAGAGGAAGCTGGGGGAATAAATGTCCAACCTCACCTTCCTCCTAACTTGATTTCCTATCAGGACCAAGTCCAGAAGCCATAGGACTTCACGCAGTCCATATAGGTTTTGCCTTATGGAGCAGTGTGGAGAAGAGTGAAGAGTAGATCTAGACATGCAAACAATATATTCAGCAGCAGTAGATGAGCTTGGTTTTTGAATGTTAAAGGAATGTTGAATTTAATAGTATCCTGAGGGGCCGGGTGCGGTGGCTCACGCCTGTAATCCCAGCACTTTGGGAGGCCCAGGCGGGCGGATCACGAGATCAGGAGATCGAGACCATCCTGGCTAATATGGTGAAAGCCCGTATCTACTAAAAATAGAAAAGATTGGCCGGGCGTGGTGGCGGGCGCCTGTAGTCCCAGCTACTGGGGAGGCTGAGGCAGGAGAATAGCGTGAACCTGGGAGGCAGAGCTTGCAGTGAGCCGAGATCAGGCCACTGCACTCCAGCCTAGGAGACAGCAAGACTGCATCTCAAAAAAAAAAAAAAAATTATATATAATAATAATAATAATAATATACTGATGGAGCTTTCTTACTGGTAGATTAAAGGAGTTTCTGAATCACTCTCTCACCTGCTCCACTTAACTAGATTACTTTTTTTTTTTTTTGAGACAGAATCTTGCTTTGTCGCCCAGGCTGGAGTTCAATAGCATGATCTTGGTGCACTGGAACCTCCACCTCCTGGGTTCAAGTGATTCTTGTGCCTCAGCCTCCCAGATAGCTGGGATTACAGACAGGCATGTGACACCACGCCTGGCTAATTTTTGTATTTTTAGTAGAGATGGGGTTTCACCATGTTGGCCAGGCTGGTCTCAAACTCCTGGCCTCAAGTGGTTTGCTCACCTTGGCCTCCCAAAATGCTGGGATTACAGGCGAGAGACACCATGCCCACCTTAACTTGGTTACTTAACCTCACTTTTCATTTTGCCATTTAAACCTTACCTAATTACTTCAGCTTAAAGAGTGATCTGATCTGGTACATGAGTTTGGCTTTGGCTTTTCTCCTGACTAAATTTCACTCCTTTTTTTTTTTTTTTTTTTTTTCCCCTTTGAGACGAAGTCTCGCTCTGTCGCCCAGGCTGGAGTGCAGTGGCGCGATCTCGGCTCACTGCAAGCTCCGCCTCCCGGGTTCACGCCATTCTCCTGCCTCAGCCTCCCGAGTAGCTGGGACCACAGGACCCCGCCACCATGCCCGGCTAATTTTTTTGTATTTTTTAGTAGAGATGGCGTTTCACCGTGTTAGCCAGGATGGTCTCGATCTTCTGACCTCGTAATCCACCCGCCTCCGCCTTCCAGAGTGCTGGGATTACAGGCGTGAGCCACCGCGGCCCGCCCTATGGTGTACTTTCTGCAGCCACTATTCAATGGTAAAATGAGTTCATGGCCTTTCGTCACATTATTTCCAGGATACAATTTAACCCCAATCTTCATCTTTTATTTGAAACCCTACCGTCTGACATCAGTAATAATCTCTTCCGTCTCTTCTTTGGCTTCCATACATTTTTTTCCTTCTTTACGTCTACTCCTCAGTTTCCTTGAGGACTTTGGTAGACAATCCCTCCCTCCTCTCTTTTCCCCTTCAACCTTGCCCCTTCAACCTTGTTTTGCTCTCCTTTGCCTGAGAGTCCTTGGACATTTTATTTATTTAATTTTTTTTTGAGACAGAGTCTCACTTTGTCACCCAGGTTGGAGTGCGGTGGCGCCATCTTGGCTCACTCTGTCGCTCAGGCTCATTGCAATCCCCCGCTCCTGGGTTTAAGCCATTCTAGCGCCTCAGCCTCCCGAGAAGCTGGGATTACGGGCGCGCCCCACCGTGTACGGCTACTTTTTGTATTTTTAGTAGAGACGGGGGTTTCACCATGTTGGCCAGGGTAGTCTCGAACTCCTGACCTCAGGTGACCACCCGCCTCGGCCTCCCAAAGTGTTGGGATTACAGGCGTGAACCACCGTGCCCGGCCAGCATTTACATTTTAAATGTAATCCTCTTTGAGGAGCAGTGTGTCTCTGTTGGGGGTGGAGTAGGGAAGGTGGAGTTGTGAGGATTCTGTTGGAAAGCCAAAGATCTCTAACCTTAGAAATAGGAAAAATAGCCGGGCGCGGTGGCTCAAGCCTGTAATCCCAGCACTTTGGGAGGCCGAGACGGGTGGATCACGACGTCAGGAGATCGAGACCATCCTGGCTAACACGGTGAAACCCCGTCTCTACTAAAAAATACAAAAAACTAGTCGGGCGAGGTGGCGGGCGCCTGTAGTCCCAGCTACTCGGGAGGCTGAGGCAGGAGAATGGCGTGAACCCGGGAGGCGGAGCTTGCAGTGAGCTGAGATCCGGCCACTGCACTGCAGCCTGGGTGACAGAGCGAGACTCCGTCTCAAAAAAAAAAAAAAAAAAAAAAAAAAAAAGGAAAAATAGCAACCAGTTCTGGGAGGTATGGGACTAATTCCTCCACTTCCTACCTGCTTCCCCATATCATTTGGAATTTATTTGGTTATTTATCCTGAGAATGATGTAAGGCAATAAGAATGATAGAATTTAAGCAAGAGCTAAGAAAAAAGACCCTCAAGACAAAATTTTAAAAGATAATTCTTTTTTTGTTTTTTTTTTTTTTTTTTTTGAGACAGAGTTTGGGTTTTGTTGCTCAGGCTGGAGCGCAATAGCACGATTTCGGTTCACTGCAAACTCCGCCTCCCAGGTTAAAGCAATTCTCCTATCTCAGCCTCTGGAGTAGCTGGGATTACAGGCGCCCGCCACCACACCCGGCTAGTATTTTGTACTTTTTGTAGAGACGAGGTTTCACCATATTAGTCAGGCTGGTCTCGAACTCCTGACCTCAGGTGATCCCACCGCCTTGGCCTTCCAAAGTGCTGGGATTACAGGTGTGAGCCACCACACCCGGCTAAAAGATAATTATTATCCCACTCTTTCATATCCCATCCCACATAGACAAACTGGTTTTTTTTTTTTTTTCCTTCTTCTGTCCTGAACACTAAATTTTAATCCCCTGAGGGGGTGCACTGTTCCTGGAGGTACTGTAATACCAGGTGGATGCGTTAAGTGAACAAGAAAGCTCCTATTGCGTCTTCCTGCTCCCCAAATCCATTTAATATATTGGACTCGGATAGAAAATATATCAGATATTAAACTGTTAAGAACAGATCCTACACTTGATCTTAGCCAAAAGGCAGAGAAGAAGCGATAAACACTTTTAAAAGCACACTTTACCTACAGATTTCCATGGAAACCAACCAAAGGGAAATTAGAGAGGCATTGCTGTGCCATTTCTATGCTAATTAATGTCTGATTTTCATTAGGCCAGCGTTGTTTTTCCTCCAAGGTCTTAGTGTTTATTACAGCAAAAATTAACTCAGTAACAATTCCTCCAGGATAGTTTTATTTAAATATTATTAACTTACATACTTCACCCAACTGCTTTCAAAATTGTTGTCTTTTATAGTGTTAAACTACCATCTTTAAAATCTTGGCTCTGGCTCTGCATCACGGAAGGTCAGCCTCTGTGAAAAGCCTGACCCCAGCAGGACAATGCCACCAAGGCATCTTTTTAATGTGATGCGCACGTTGCTGTACACCTTGGCTGCAAAGCAGAGGCTGTGTTTTTAAAACGGCCAAGAGCCAGTGCATGCCGTGTGGTGAATTATCAGTATCGCAAGTTGGGCACGGAAGGATGCTTTCTCCCTCTTTAACACTAACAACAGAATAAAAAACCAAAAACTAAAAACCAAATCCAACAGACAACAAAACCGTCCGAGTGCCCAGGGAAAGCGCGCCAACTACATAAAGAAAAGTAGGGGGGGAACTGGGATTCAAAATCATTACTCCCGGACGTACACCCTCCTGGACCTATCAAAATTAACTGCGCCCTTGATCGTAGCCAATAGATACGGAGTTTCTGGTCCAGGTCCTCCCTGAAGACTGATAGACATTTACCTAGCCCAATGGAATAATGTGACGCTAAAGAATCAACCAATACGTTTGGGAGGTGGGTGGAGTGTAGGCCAGGGGGTTGGCGGTGCCGTGTCATGGAGGCTCAGTCTCTGAGCAGCCATTGAAGGGGAAGGAACTGCGGGTGTGTGTGTGTGTGCGTGTGTATGTGTGTGTGTATGTGTGTGCGCGCGTGCGTGCGTGTGAGTGCGCGCGCTAGTGTGTGGACAAGGAGGTGGGGGCAGCTGAGTTAGAGTCCCAACTCTTGGACTCCATTTGCTATTCTCTTCTTTCTCCCCCACACCTATCTGGTGGTAGTGGGCGTTTATATTTGCGTTCCTTTTCATTCATTTCTAAATCTCTTAAAAATTTTGGGTTGGGGGTATTGGGAAAGGCAGGAAAGGGAAAAGAAGGAGAGTAGTAGCTGAAGAGCAAGAGGAGGACATGGAGATGAAGAAGAAGATTAACCTGGAGTTAAGGAACAGAGCCCCGGAGGAGGTGAGATGACTCAGCCCCCACCCCTTCCCCATCAGTCCTGTATTCTGAGGATCGGATTTCTGGTGGTCCTGGGTGGGTGTGCGGGGATGGAGTAATAAGTTAGCCCCCGCCCCCCCGGTTTAGGGTTGGGGAAATGTTTAATTTTAAGTTTTAAATCATTAAAATCTTCTACTTAAAATGGCGAAGGGTTGAAGTTTCTAGGGGCGTTTTTGTGTGTGCATGGGGGCTTAGCTCCTTTCGGCTTTCATCGAGTCGGGCGTCCTGGCCTCGTGGGGGCGGGAAGCGGGCTGGTGGGGGCGCTCTGCCGCTTCGCTCCCGGCGCTCCTCCTCCTGAGGGCCAGCGGCGTGGGACGCGACCCCCCAGTCCCACTCGGCCCCTGCCGCAGCCATCGGCGCCTGAGAAGTTAGTCCAACTTTTCTGCAGTGCGGCCAACTCATCTTTTTGGGGGGTGGGCTCCCCCGGCCTCAAGGCCCTGGGCATCCGACGTCGCGACGGGCGCGGACTGGGGTCGCTTTCAAGGTCCGCGCACTGTCTGCTCCGGCGGCGCCCACTCCTCCGGGAAGCCGCGCGCGCTGCCCTCCGCCCTCCGCCCTCCGCCCTCCGCCCGGCGGAATCTGGGTCAGCCGCGGGTTCTCTGACCGCGGGCGAGTTTGGGGACTCGTCGCAGTGACCGGAGGTGGGGAGGGGACGGGAGGCGTAATCCGCTTCTTCCCCCGCCGTGTAAAGATATGTGGCACGTCGTGTGGCCGCAACTCTTGAATTTGATCCCTGGAGACGGTTTCACAGAACTCAACATAAGGGACGTAGTAGTTTCGTGCTTTAAAGATGGGTTCGCCGAAACTAAATGATGCGCTCTCACTGCTGTTGCCTTAGTTAAAGAGACGGGGTTGGGAGGGGCCACATGAGGCGGGGTCGCGGTCAACTTTTCGGGGGTCGGGCAGGAGGCGTTTCCGCCTCCTTTTCGCGGTTGCCTCCTCGGCCTCACCTACCCAGGGCGAAGGCGCGAGGGCAACGCGGGTTGGGAGGCGACCCCTTTTTTCCTTGGGGAGTCCCCGCCCGGTGTGGGGTTTCCCGTCAGTCGGAGCGGCAGGTCGCGAGAGCAGGGCTGGTGGCCAGCGGGGAGCCTCGCAGAGGAAAGCATCTGTCTTGCTGAAAGAAGCCCCAGAATTGGAATGTAAGGGAGTTGTCTGTAGCTGGATCGACCGATCGATAGAAGGATATAACTGAGGTGGTGTCTGTGCAGACCCGCATAGAGGATGAGCAGGGTCTGTCTAGGCTTTCGCGTACGGCGTGTGGAGTGGCAACTAAGACTTTTTTTTTTTTTTTAATAAATTTTTTTTTTTTTGAGACGGAGTCTCGCTCTGTCACCCAGGCTGGAGTGCAGTGGCCGGATCTCAGCTCACTGCAAGCTCCGCCTCCCGGGTTCACGCCATTCTCCTGCCTCAGCCTCCCGAGTAGCTGGGACTATAGGCGCCCACCACCTCGCCCGGCTAGTTTTTTTTTGTATTTTTTAGTAGAGACGGGGTTTCACCGTGTTAGCCAGGATGGTCTCGATCTCCTGACCTCGTGATCCGCCCGTCTCAGCCTCCCAAAGTGCTGGGATTACAGGCGTGAGCCACCGCGCCCGGCCTTTTTTTTTTTTTTAAGGTGCCTGTTTTCTGAAATTGGCAGGGGCCAGGGAGGGGAAACAGTTGCTTGCTATCAGGGTCATCCCGGAGAGATCTTGAAGTTTCTAGAACTTATTCTTAGGGGCTTCAGGGAAAAAACAAAATCAAACTTGAAAAGCTGTCTCTCACAAGCACACGTTTAGAATACTTTTTGGTGGCTTGGGTTGGAAAATTGAATCCCGCCCCCGCCTCCCCCGCCAGGATTCTTTGACTTAGTGATTGTAGTAATTTCTTTGCCAGTTTTGGGAGTGCAGGACGTTGCCTTTTTTCAGCTTCTTCCTCTGTGTTGTAATAACGGTCTCTTACATTTGTGTAGACAGTTTACAAAGCACTTTTCCCGTTTGTTATTTACTTTCCTCCTTACACACTTGTAAAGTGGATTGTGTTATTCTAGAATTCAAATTAGCAGACGGAGTCTCAGGACAGTGAAATGATTTACGCAAGTGCAGGAATTGGTTTTCTGACACCAAATCTAGTAGCCCCCACTCCTCAACTAAATGGGGAGTGTGAAGACGAACCAATTCACAGCCCTGCGGCAAACCAAGTGTGACTCTAGGCAAGCCATTCTTGTTCTCTGGGCCATAGCTTCCACTTCTCCAAAACGGAGCTCAAGATGCTCTCTCTGGCAACAGAAATAATTATGTCAAAGTCGTATTCAAATAGAGAAGGTGGCATTCCTTGTTGCCAAATTTTAGCCCTCGGATACCTCAAACAGGTTTTCACATCGGGTATAGAGAACCAGGATCTTCGGCCTTTTCCTTAAAGATTAAGTCCATTCAGGCCCACACCAGGAAGTTTGTTACTACAAACTCTTACCTAATAGGGAATTCAGCCCCATTCCTTGAGGAATGGGGAAAAGTGCACAGAAATGCTATTATACCAGAGTGGTAGGGAGAAATAACATTTTGTTAAGAATGTATTGTTTTAGGTGATACTGTTTGGCCTGGATGTGAGAACCAATAACACCCTCTGGGCTGTTCTAACAGAGGAGCTTTCTAACATTTCCTCATAAAGGGTAAGGAGGTTTTTTTGAGTTATGATGGTATTTATCAACCAAAGAGAAGGGGTTTTAAACTGAAAAAGTGATTAAAGAGTTTCTTCTCTTTGTAGGTTTTTTTTTTTTTTGAGATAGAGTCTCGATCTGTTGCCCAAGGTGGAGTGCAAGGGTGCGGCCTTGGCTCACTGCAACCTCTGCCGCCCGGGTTCAAGTGATTCTCCTGTCTCAGCCTCCCAAGCAGCTGGGATTACAGGTGCCCACCATCACGCCTGGCTGAGTTTTGTGTTTTTAGTAGGGACAGGGTTTCACTGTGTTGGCCAGGCTTATTTTGAACTCCTAACCTCAAGTGATCCACCTGCCTCAGCTTTCCAAAGTGCTGGGATGACAGGCGTGAGCCCCTGCGCCTGGCGCTCTTTGTAGGTTTTAGGGCAGCTCACTCGAATCTTTTCCTGGTAGCTCAGGTACCCCCTCCTTGCATAAATATATTCTCTGATGTTGAGAGTCCTCCTTATCAGGGTCAGAAACAGGTTTCACATGGGAACTTCTTCAACGTTTGTTTCTTATGTATCAGTGATTTGAAGCAGGCATTGAACTTTAGTCCAAGTTTAAATTGAAAGAATGGCCAGGCGAGGTGGCTCATCCCTGTAATCCTAGCACTTTGGGAGGCCGAGGGGGAGGATCACCTGAGGTCAGGAGTTCAGGACCAGCCTGGCCAACATGGCGAAACCCTGTTTCTACTAAAAATACAAAAAAATTAGTCGGGAGTGGTGACATGCACCTGTAATCCCAGCTACTTGAGAGGCTGAGACAGGAGAATTGCTTGGACCCAGGAGTTGGAGGTTGCAGTGAGCCGAGATGGTGCCATTGCACTCCAGCCTGGGTAACAGAGCAAGACTCCATCTCAAAAAAAAAAAAAGAAGGAAAAAAAAGGAAAAAAGAAATTTAAAAGATTATAGTGATGACTTTAGATTGTATATCAGTTTTGGGGGGAAATGAACAGGATCTGTGTAAGGGGATTGCTGGGGTTTTTGTTGTGTTGTGTTTTGTTTTAACTGATGGGCAATCAAACTGGAGATTGGTGGTTTTAATAGTTACATTTTCAGAGTGTCAAAACCCAGGTCTCTACCTAAACAGATTACAAACTAAAGAATCATTAATTAATGTTTTCCCTCTTACAGGTGACAGAGTTAGTCCTTGATAATTGCCTGTGTGTAAATGGGGAAATTGAAGGCCTGAATGATACTTTCAAAGAACTAGAATTTCTGAGTATGGCTAATGTGGAACTAAGTTCACTGGCCCGGCTTCCCAGCTTAAATAAACTTCGAAAAGTAAGTTGGCATTTACGTGAAGCATCATGATTTAAATGTCATGGCTATTATGTCTAGTGTTTGGCCAAATGGAATACCATTCTGCTTGCTAATTAGAAGTTTTTAAGTTTCTAGAGATAAGAAAAAGTTATATAGGATTTTGAGAATCAGCTCTAATACTGCTTTTATAAATTTATTTACTTACTTATTTTTAAGACAGGGTCTTACTCTGTCACCCAGGCTGGAGTGCCGTGGTGTGATCTTGGCTCATTGCAACCTCTGCCTCTGGGGCTCAAGCATTCTCCCACTTCAGCCTCCCAAGTAGCTGAGGCTACAGGCATGCGCCACCACACCTGGCTAATTTTTGTATTTTTTACAGAGACAGGGTTTCACCATGTTGTCCAGACTGATTTCAAATTCCTGGGCTCCAGGCATCCTCCTGCCTCAGCTTCCCACAGTGCTGGGATTAGAGGAGTTAGCCTCTGTGCCTGGCCTAGAAATTTAAATCTAATAGTGGAATTGCCTTATAATATGAATTTGTATTTAATATATACCAAATATTTTTCTCTACATCATGAAATCCAAATGTAGTACAACTAGAATCCAAGCTGGGTTAAGAGCCCATTATGTAGGTGTTCTAATACATTATTTGGCAGATGTAGAAAGGAATTTGGAAATTAATGATCTGTAGTGATAGTTTCTTGAAGCCAGAGAGAATGACAGGTTTTTTTTTCTTCAAATTGATATACTTTAAAAATCTTTGATATACTTTAAAAATCTTTGATATGCCAGGTGTGGTGGCTCACGCCTGTAATCCCAGCACTTTAGGAGGCTGACGCGGGTGGATCACCTGAGGTCAGGAGTTCGAGACCAGCCTGGCCAACATGGTGAAACCCCATCTCTACTAAAAATACAAAAACTAGCTGGGTGTGGTGGCGGGTGCCTGTAATCCCAGCTGCTTGGGAGGCTGAGGCAGGAGAATTTGCTTGAACCCAGGAGGCGGAGGTTACAGTGAGTGGAGATTGTACCACTGCACTCCAGCCTGAGTAACAGAGTGATACTTCGTTTCAAAAAAAAAAAAGCTTTGATATGATACCTTTACCATTCTTTGTTTTCTTCCTATGTTGAATGTATAGTTGGAGCTTAGTGATAACATAATTTCTGGAGGCTTGGAAGTCCTGGCAGAGAAATGTCCAAATCTTACCTACCTCAATCTGAGTGGAAACAAAATAAAAGATCTCAGTACAGTAGAAGCTCTGGTAAGTGGAACGGTTTTGTCTCTGGACTTGCTTTTTTTGGTTAAATTTTCTGAGATTTGTTTGTGTCTATTAATTTCTATTTAACTCAAAACTTACGAATTTTTTGTATGTTATGACCTAGGCAGTTACTGATTTCGTTTCCTTTTTTTTTTTTGAGGCGGAGTCTCTCTCTGTCGCCCAGGCTGGAGTGCAGTGGCGCGATCTCGGCTCACTGCAAGCTCCGCCTCCCGGGTTCCCGCCATTCTCCTGCCTCAGCCTCCCGAGTAGCTGGGACTACAGGCGCCGCCACCACGCCCGGCTAATTTTTTTTGTATTTTTAGTGGAGACGGGGTTTCATTGTGTTAGCCAGGATGGTCTCGATCTCCTGACCTCGTGATCCGCCCGTCTCGGCCTCCCAAAGTGCTGGGATTACAGGCTTGAGCCACCGCGCCCGGCCTTGATTTCGTTTCTTTTAGACTAAAATATTCAGATGAAATTTTAAATCAATGAGAAATTTATTTTATCATCAACTTCAGGAGTTGACTGTCTGGTTTTAAAATTTCCAGGTTTTTTTTTTTTAACCTTTTATTCTTTTTCCTTTCTTCTTGATTATTTTTTGAGTCATTTTATTATTTGCCCCCTTTCCTGGTATGAGGGAAGGAAAAGAAAAAGTGACACGAGGTAGGAGAATCGCTTGAACCCGGGAGGGGGAGGTTGCGGTGAGCCAAGATTGCACCATTGCACTCCAGCCTGGGCAACAAGAGCGAAACTCCGTCTAAAAAAAAAAAAAAGAAAAAGAAAAGAAAAAGTGACATGCTGAAAATTATTGCTCTGATTTTGAAAAAAGATTGGAGACTGGGCACAGTGGTTTATGTCTGTAATCCCAGCACTTTGGGAGGCAGAGGTGGGAGGATCACTTGAGTCCAGGAGTTTGAGACCAACCTGGGCAACATAGTGAGACCCTGTCTCTACAAAAATAAAAAATTAAAAAAAATTAGCCAGGTGAGCTGGCTGTGCTTGATATAATAATCCTTCATTATAAAACTCAAAAAATACAAAAATCATTCTCAATTTCAAATGTATATTTTCTGAATCATAAATTAAAAAGAAATGATGTGGTTGGGCACGGTGGCTCGCGCCTGTAATCCCAGCACTTTGGGAGGCCAAGGTGGGCAGATCATGAGGTCAGGAGATTGAGACCATCCTGGCCAACATGGTAAAACCTCATCCCTACTAAAAATACAAAAATTAGGCCGGGCGCGGTGGCTCACGCCTGTAATCCTAGCACTTTGGGAGGCCGAGGCGGGCAGATCACCTGAGGTCAGGAGTTTGAGACCAGCCCAACCAACGTGGAGAAACCCCGTCTCTACTAAAAATACAAAATTAGCTGCGTGGAGGCGCATGCCTGTAATCCCAGCGACTTGGGAGGCTGAGGCAGGAGAATTGAACCCAGGAGGCGGAGGTTGTGGTTAGCTGAAGATCATGCCATTGCACTCCAGCCTGGGCAACAAGAGCAAAAAGTCCGTCTCAAAACAACAAAACAAAACAAAAACACAAAAATTAGCTGGGCATGGTGGTGCACGCCTGTAGTCCCAGCTACTCGGGAGGCTGAGGCAAGAGAATCGCTTGAACCCGGGAGGCGGAGGTTGCAGTGAGCGGAGATCACGGCACTGAATTCCAGCTGGCAACAGAGCTAGACTCCGTCTCAAAAACAAAAACAAAACAAAACAAAAAACATGGTATTTTAAATCTTGAATGTAAGTTTTAACTTTACTTTTCCAGCAAAATCTTAAAAATTTGAAAAGTCTTGACCTGTTTAACTGTGAGATCACAAACCTGGAAGATTATAGAGAAAGTATTTTTGAACTGCTGCAGCAAATCACATACTTAGATGGATTTGATCAGGAGGATAATGAAGCACCGGACTCTGAAGAGGAGGATGATGAGGGTAATCATTCTTAATACTCATAAGTGTGTCATTATTATAGCCTCTGCTCTAGCTGTGCAAATTAGATTGGGCCTGGAAATTTAGGTTTGAAAAAAAAAATCCACAAGAAGATATTAGTAAGACAAGAAAAAATTAAAAACCCGTAGCTCTAGCCAGTATTTCTTCTTTTATATTTCCTATAGTTTCAGGGAATTTAATGACTATTATAACATGAAGCTCTGTGAAATTTTATATCTGTAGAAAGTTGTACACCCAGTAAAAGTGGCAACGTCTTAAATAGTATTTTTTTTTTATAAAAAGAACCACTTGTAATAGCCAAAAAGTAGAAACAACCGAAGTATCTATCAACTGATGAATGGAATTTTTTTTTTTTTTTTTTGAGACAGAGTTTTGCTCTTTTTGCCCAGGCTAGAGTGCAGTGGTGCAATATCTGCTCACTGCAACCTCCGCCTTCCGTTTTCAAGCAATTATCCTGCCTGGACCTCCCAAGTCGCTGGGATTACAGGCGCCCGCCACCACTCCCAGCTAATTTTTTTATAGTTTTAGTAGAGACAGGGTTTCCCCATGTTGGTCAGGCTGGTCTCGAACTGCTGACCTCGTGATCCACCCACCTCGGCCTCCCAAAGTGCTGGGATTAAAGCCAGCGTGAGCCACCGGGCCCCGGCCCAATGAACAGATTTTAAAAATGTGATTTATCTATACAGTACAATATTATTCCACCATAAATATGAATGAAGTACTGATGCATGCTACATGAATGAATCTTGAAAATGTTCTTCTAAGTGAAAGAAGAGAGACACAAAAGGCCACGTATTGATTGACTTCATTTATATGGAAAGTTCATGGGAAGCCAAGGCAGGAGAATTGCTGGAACCTGGGAGGCAGAGGTTACAGTGAGCTGAGATCGTGTCACTGCACTGTAGCCTGGGCGACAGAGTTAGACTCTGTCTCAAAAACAAAACAAAAAACCGAACAAAAAACCATATATATATGATTCAGAATAGGCAGAAACTTCAGGATAGGCAAATCCATTGAGACAGAAAGTAGATTATTGGTTGCTCGATGCTGGGAGAGAGGAAAATGGGAGAGTGACTGCATATGGGTATGGAATTTCTTTTTGAGGGAAGAAAAATATTCTAGAATTAGATTGTGAGTATACAGTTTTAGAAAAGTGGATGACAGATCAGATGACAGAATGCTGTTAGTAGTGGGATACTGCTTGTTATTATTGAGTGAAAACTTCTTCATTGTAAGAAGAAATTTGATGGATAAACACTGTTACAAAATGATGAAATGATAGATAAGCAGGTTTTTTTTTTTTTAATTTTAGATTAAGGGGGTACGTGTGCAAGTTTGTTCCATGGGTGTATTGCATGATGCTGAGGTTTGGTCTTCTACTCATCCTGTCACCCAAATAGTGAACATAGTGCCTAATAGTTAGTTCTTCAGCCACCCTCCTTCCCCTCTTTTGAAGTTCCAGTGTCTGTTCCCATCTTTATGTCCCTGTGTCCCCAGTGTTTAACTCCTGCTTATAAGTGTGAACATGCAGTATTTAGTTTTTTGTTTCTGCATTAATTCACTTAGGATGATGGCCCCCAGCTGTCTCTATGTTGCTGCAAAGGACATTATTTCATTCTTTCTTTATGGCTGTGTAGTATTCCATCATGTGTATGTTCTACATTTTCTTTATCCAGTCCGCCATTGATGGGCACCTAGGTTGGTTCCATGTCTTTGGTATTGTGAATAGTGCTGTGGTGAGCATACAAATGCATGTGTCTTTTTGGTACAATGATTTACTTTCCTTTGGGTATATACCCAGTAATGGGATTGCTGGGTTGAATGGTAGTTGTATTTTTAGTTCTTTGAGAAATTTCCAAACTGCTTTTCATGTGGCTGAACTAATTTATATTCCCACCAACAGTGTATAAGCATTCCCTTTTCTCTGCAGCCTCTCCAGCATCTCACAAGCAAGTTTTGAAGTATTCACAAAGTAAAACAAACTTTAGTGCATGCAATGTTTTCATGAGACTCTATATATATGTTGGATACTAGTATTTAGAAGCCATACTTCTCGCATATGGTTTGTAGGAATAACTAGGAATGTTGTAAAACAGAAATCTTAAAAAAAAAAAAAATCTCTCTGAGTTACTTTCCACCTATCGGCTTACAAGTTTGAAGTGATTGGACAAGGGTAAAAAGCATCAACATCCTAGGAAGAAACATTTGCTCAGTCAATTTACTCATCTTTAAATGATTTTTTAAAGATGGAGATGAAGATGATGAAGAGGAAGAGGAAAATGAAGCTGGTCCACCAGAAGGATATGAGGAAGAGGAGGAGGAAGAGGAAGATGAGGATGAGGATGAAGATGAAGATGAAGATGAAGCAGGTTCAGAGTTGGGAGAGGGAGAAGAGGAAGTGGGCCTCTCATACTTAATGAAAGAAGAAATTCAGGTGAATACACACTTCTTATCTGCACTGAAAATTAATTTCTAGGCATAGGACCAAATACTATATAAAGTATGTTTTGTAGCAGTCTGACAGTTGTTTCTTTTTTTTTTTTTAGTTTGTGTAGGCTAGTGCCGATTCAGTACTGCCTCCCCCCCCCCCCCCCCCCCCCCCCCCCCCCCCCCCTAGTTTTTTTTTTTTTTATAAAGGTTTTGTTAGCCAGGTGTCTGATCTAGTCTGATCGTCTCCTCAAGTCTGGTTCGCTTGACCGCCCCTAGTTTTTGTTGTGGTGTGCATATATGTCTATCTGCCTATCTTTTTTTCCATTGTCCTCCACCCCAAACTATATCCAGGTAATCATAAACACCTATTGATTTTACCTCCCAGATAACTTTCAAATCTGTTACAGCCTCAATGGCATGGTATGGTGGAAACATTTTACAAATGTCTGTGAACCTCAGTTTTCTGCATTTATAAAACAGATTAGGCCGGGCATGGTGGCTCACACCTGTAATCTCAGCACTTTGGGAGGCCGAGGCGGGTGGATGACAAGGTCAGGAGTTTGAGACCAGCCTGGCCAACATGGGTGGGGAAACCCCATATCTACCAAAAATACAAAAATTAGCTCGGCATGATGGCACACATCTGTAGTCCCAGCTACTCGTGAGGCTGAGGCCAGAGAATCACTTGAACCCAGGAGGCAGAGATTACAGTGAGCTGACATCGCGCCACTGCACTCCAACTCGGGCAACAGAGCCAGACTCTGTCTCAAAACAAAAAACAAAAAAACCAGGTTATATCAATCTCATAGGATTAAGGATTTAACAAGATAATCTATGTAAAGAATATAGTCCCTGGCACATTATAGGCACTCAAGAAAACTTAAGTTTCTTTCTCCTAATTATCTCTTGCTTATACTTCTGTAGTAACTTTATAGTCTCTCTGAATACAGCATCACCACTTAGGAGTATTCTCCACAGTGCTGCCTGTTTAATCTAATGCAAATGTGATTATACACCAGTCTTCTTGAAACCCTTTAATGTTTCCCTCTTGCCCCCAAGACATACAAGGCCTTTCATTTCTGGCCTTTGCTCCTTCTTCTTCTTCTTTTTCTTTTTTTTGACACAGTCTCACTCTTGCCCAGGCTGGAGTGCAGTGGTGCGATCTTGACTCACTGCAGCCTCTGCCTCCCAGGCTCAAGCAGTCCTCTGACCTCAGCTTCCCAAATAGCTGGGACTACAGGCACATGCCACCACGCCTGGCTAATTTTTGTATTTTTTGTAGGGACAGGGTTTCACCATGTTGGCCAGGCTGGTCTTGAACTCCTGACCTCAAATGGTCCACCCACCTTGGCATCCCACAGTGCTGGGATTACAGGTGTGAGCCACCATGCTCGGCCCCTGCTTCCTTCTCTAGCTTCATCTCCCTTGATTCCAAATTAAATGATCACACCAAGCTATTTTACCTTTATGGCTGTTTATGAATACGTTGTTCATGCTTTCTGAAATGAGCCTCTGATGAACTTTTTGTTTTTTGCCGAGTGAAGCTTGTGAAGTGCACTGATTTTATTTACAACTCCATGGAATTTTACATATGCATGTACTTGTGTAACCACCACCCAAATCATGCTTTGTGAACTCTTATCTTTACAAACCCAACTCTGCAGTTGACTCATCACTGAAGCTTTCTATATTTTTTCTTAGGCAGTCACTCCTCCATGTGTTACCTCTGAATCATGATCAGGCTTCTATTGCCTAGAGACACTTATAAAATCATTTGGCCACTTTCTGCTAAGTGGTGAGCTCCTTAAGGGGAGTGCCACTTACCTTTGGATCTCAGCATCTAGTACACTGACTAGCCCATGGTAGGCTCATGGGAAATGTCAGTTGACTAGAACAAGTTATCTGTAGCCCCTAGGAGTTTAGGTTAGTTATTTTCTCCTAATGTTAAATTGAAGTTTATTTGAAAAACTCATAAAGTATTTTTTATTATTAAAAATAACATATCTTATTTAGACTGGGAATTGTTAATATTTGTTCTAATGAGTTTTGCATTGGTTAGATACATAATATCAACAATCAATGATACATATTTTCTGATGAAACTAGTATGGAAAAAATAGGATTTATATTCATTTGGGGTCTTGGTGGGTTAGGAGCTATATATAAAATGAAGAACAGAAATTTAAGTGTTCTTTTTGTTTTTCTTTTTTGAGATGGAGTTTTGCTCTTGTTGCCCAGGCTGGAGTGCAATGGCGCGATCTCGGTTCACTGCCACCTCTGCCTCCTGGGTTCAAGCGATTCTCCTGCCTCACCCTCCTGAGTAGCTGGGATTACAGGTGCCTGCCACTACACCGGCTAATTTTTTGTATTTTTAGTAGAGACAGGGTTTCACTGTGTTGGCCAGGGTGGTCTTGAACTCCTGACCTCAGGTGATCTGCCCACCTCAGCCTCCCAAAGTGCTGGGATTATAGGTGAGCTGCTGCACCTGGCCCCACCTCTTCTTTTTTTAATGAACAAATTCTGCAACAAAAGCCACATTCAATCTTCCCCTTTTTTTTCTTGTCTTTCCTTCTTCAGTTTAGTCTGTAGTTTTTCCTGATTTTCATTGTGTTCTTTTTTTATGCTTTTTGCTACCTCATCTATTCCTTTTACTCCTTATAGCTTACTGGTATTCTGGTATGGAGATGCTTTGTTTCAACTGATTGTATAAGAATGATTTCTGATACAAGAATTAGGCAGTTGGCCGGGTGTGGTGGCTCACACCTGTAATCCCAGCATTTGGGGAAGCTGAGGCAGGCGGATCACCTGAGGTTGGGAGTTTGAGACCAGCCTGACCAACATGGAGAAACCCCGTCTCCACTAAAAATACAAAATTAACTGGGTGTGGTGGCGCATGCCTGTAATCCCAGCTACTCGGGAGGCCAAGGCAGGAGAATCGCTTGAACCTGGGAGGCAGAGTTTGCCGTGAGCCGAGGTCACGCCATTGCACTTAAGCCTGGGCAACAAGAGCGAAACTCCATTTAAAAAAAAAAAAAAAAAAAAGGAAAAGAGAAAAAAATAACCTAGAGATTTAGTTAGAATTTTTTTTTTTGAGATGAAGCCTCAGCTCTTGTGTACCAGGCTGAGAGTGCAATGGCGCGATCTCAGCTCACTGCAACCTCCGCCTGCCAGGTTCATGCGGTTCTTCTGTATCAACCTCCTGAGTAGCTGGGATTACAGGCGCCTGCCACCATACCTGGCTAATTTTTGTATTTTTAGTAGAGATGGAGTTTCACCATGTTGGCCACGCTGGTCTTGAACTCTTGACCTCGGGTCATCTGCCCTCCTTGGCCTCCCAAAGTGCTACGATTACAGGCATGAGCCACCACACCTGGCTCTTTAGTTAGGTTTTAAAAAGGACCTTTATAAGAATGGCAGAGGTTATCAAAACACAGAATAACCAAGTTTCTTTGCTCTTGTTGGAATATATTACAAGAAAGAGTGAAAAATCCATATGATTTTTTAATTCTCAACTGAATATTTGAATTTCAAGGATGAAGAAGATGATGATGACTATGTTGAAGAAGGGGAAGAAGAGGAAGAGGAGGGTGAGTTACATTAACCATAAACAAATTCTAAAATTAAAGACATAGTTATTTTTTATACACTTTATTTATATTTCATACACTTTAAAGAATGAGCCTATAATGTAAATTTTTACTGATCCCTTTGATTTTGCTTTATCATAGAGTGCCTTCAAAGTTATAAAAGTTTTTTTTTTTTAAGAGTAGTTGTCTTAGGGCACTCATTAATTCATAACTCATAAGTACATATACAGCTTATAACATTTATTTTAAAAACAAATGAAGAGATGAATGGAACCTTGAGCTGAATTTATTATTTTTATAGAGTGTCATTTTAGAGAGAGTGAAGCCTTATCTTACAAGAGAGGAGCAGTTGAACTCCAGATAATTAATGCTGTTTTTAGATTTGTTTTCTAGGCCTTTAAAAATTTATATATATGTATATATATATAAATATATATATGTAAAATATATATACATAAATATATATATATTTTTAAACAGAATCTTACTTTGTTACCCAGGCTGGAGGCTGGAGTGCAGTGGTGCAATCGCAGCTCACTGCAGTCTCAATCTTCTTGGGCTCAGGTGATCCCCCCATCTCAGCCTCCCAAGTAGCTGGGACTACAGGCACACACCGTCACACCCGGCTAATTTTTGTATTTTTTTTTGTAGAGATGGGGTTTCGCCATATTGCCCAGGCTGTGTTGAACTCTGGGTTCAAGCGATCTGCCCACCCCAGCCTCCCAAAGTGCTGGGATTGTAGATGTGAGCCACCATGGCCAACCAGTATTTTTGTTTTATTTTATTTTATTTTATTATTTTATTTTATTGTTTTGAGACAGGGTCTCTCTCAGCAGTGAGTGCAGTGGGGCATTCATAGCTCACTGCAGCCTCGACTTCCCAGGCTTAAGCAATCCTCCCACCTCAACCTCTTCCAAAGTAGCTGAGACTACAGGTGCGCACCACCACACCTTGCTAATTTTTGTATTTTTTGTATAGACGGGTCTCACTGTTGCCCGGGCTGGTCTTAAACTCCTGGGCCCAACTGATCCTCTTGCCTTGGCCTCCCAAAGTGCTAGGATTATAGATGTGAACCACTGCACTCAGCCTCAAAATAATTTTTAAAATTTAGTAACACTTGCATTGATGTCAAGCCCTTAGTTTCTTAATCTGTACTTCATGATATGGCCACAAGGGTGCATAGCAAACTGTAATGATTATGGATTTCTTTTTTTTTTTTTTTTTTTTTTTTGAGACGGAGTCTCGCTCTGCCGCCCAGGCTGGAGTGCAGTGGCCGGATCTCAGCTCACTGCAAGCTCCGCCTCCCGGGTTCACACCATTCTCCTGCCTCAGCCTCCCGAGTAGCTGGGACTACAGGCGCCCGCCACCGCGCCCGGCTAGTTTTTTGTATTTTTTAGTAAAGACGGGGTTTCACCGTGTTAGCCAGGATGGTCTCGATCTCCTGACCTCGTGATCCGCCCGTCTCGGCCTCCCAAAGTGCCTGGCAGGCGTTAGGACTGCCGTAGTGGATTTGTTTCCAGCCGTCGTCCGGTCCAGCCACTGCAAGCTCACCTCCCGGGTTACCCATTCTCCTGCCTCAGCCTCGATAGCTGGACTACAGGCCCACCACCTCGCCCGGCTAGTTTTGTATTTTTTAGTGGGGTTTCACCGTGTTAGCCAGGATGTCTCGATCTCCTGACCTCGTGATCCGCCCTCTCGGCCTCCCAATGCTGGGATTACAGGCTTGAGCCACCGCGCCCGGCCAAGTCTGTTTTCAACCTACTCAAATTTAAAGAAATTCAAAGAGGAAACTTGAATTATATTTTCCTTCCTTCCCTCCCTCCCTTCCTCCCTTCCTTCCTACCACCTTCCTTTCCTCCCTCCCTCCCTCCCTCCCTTCTTCTCGTCCTCTCTTCACCTGCCCTCCCTCCCTCCTTTGAGACAGTCTCCCTCTGTCGCCCAGACTGGAGTGCAGTGGCATAGTCTCGGCTCATTGCAGCCTCTGCCTCCCGGGTTCAAACGATTCTCCTGCCCCAGCCTCCCAAGTGGCTGGGACTACAGGTGCCTGCACCACACCCAGCTAATTTTTATATTTTTAGTAGAGATGGGAGTTTCACCCTATTGGCCAGGCTGGTCTCCAACTCCTGACCTGAAGTGATCCGCCTGGCTCGGCCTCCCAAAGTATTGGGATTACTGGCGTGAGCCACCTTGCCTGGCCAATTTTCTTCTGCCATTAACGTTTTTTTTTTTTTTTTTTTTTTTTTTTTTTTGTGAGACAAAGTTTTGGGCGGTTGCCCATGCTGGAGTGCAGTGGCGCGATCTTGGCTCACTGGAACCTCCGCCTTCCAGGTTCATGCAATTCTTCCTCAGCCTCTCCAGTAGCTGGGATTATAGGCACCCGCCATCATGCCTGGCTAATTTTTTGCATTTTTAGTAGAGATGGGGTTTCACCTTGTTGGCCAAGCCTCAAGTGATCCACCCACCTTGGCCTCCCAAAGTGCTGGGATTACAGGTGTGAGCCACCGTGCTAGGCCCTGCCATTAACTTTTCACTAAGATTCAAAACTTTGTAATGTAACCAATCCTTATTTGTTAAAATTAAGCATTTTGCATTTTTCCTTCCACTCGTTAAGAAGAAGAAGGTCTTCGAGGGGAGAAGAGGAAACGAGATGCTGAAGATGATGGAGAGGAAGATGACTAGATCATTCTAAGACCAGACTCTCTAATGTTTCTGGGTGTGCAACAGAGTGATTACATCTTTGTTTCTTCATGTACGATAGCTATCCCTACAGAAGATAATGTGTAACTTTTTATAGGAAAAGTGTGGTTTTACTATTTTTGCCTTATCATTCCAAATAAGAACTAGTCTGTTAATGATCATATTGTATGTAGAGAAAAATTTTCATTGACTCCCATTGTGGAATTCCCTAGCAATTTATTTAGACTTAATTTTTTAAATTCAAGCTTACTGTATTAGTCATTTTTAGCCCATAATTAAAACATCACTTTTACACAGGTGTAGTATGGTGCATTTCATTCCTTATTTATAAATTAACTGAAATTACAGTTTGCTATAATATAAAATGACAGTAGTCTCTTGAGTGGTAAGTTGGTTATTCTTTTAGAGGTAATCCAGGGATCTTTAGTTTGAAGGCAGTTACTTTTTTTTTTTTGACTAAGAGTGGTTGCTTTTTTGTCACAAGTAACTTGGAAAATAGAAGCAGAATAGTAAAGGTTCTATTCAGCAACATAGTTCATGGATTTTGTGGAGGTTCTATTCAGTAATAGGGTTCATGGATTTAGTGGTGACTGATAAGATTTTATTTTTGAAGGAAAAATTGCTTATACTAAGTCCAGAGACATGCAGGTGAGCCCTTTTGTCAGGCTGCAAATCATGACATGCCGATGGTTGTTTATTTTGTTTTGTTTTTAGGTGCGCATTCTTTTTCTTCTTAGCAATTCCTTTATGATCACCTTCCCTTCTTGTTTCACTCCCTCCTGCTCTCTCAAAAGAAAGTTGGGAAACTTGTGAAACCTAGGAAAACCTTTAGTCTTATACCTCAACTACCTTTTAGTCCTGTCTGGGTTTTAAATAAATGAAGTGGAAGAAATTGAGTATTTTCTGACATAAGAATATATTATCAATACAGTTTTATGCAGTAAGCTCTGCTTACCATAAATGTTTCTTGGTTCACAACATCTAAGACAATATTAGTAGGATGAAAAAAAGCAGGGGTGCTTTTTGGAAGCAGTGTTCATGTTTTTTTTTTTTTTTTTTTTTTTTTGAGACGGAGTCTCGCTCTGTCACCCAGGCTGGAGTGCAGTGGCCGGATCTCAGCTCACTGCAAGCTCCGCCTCCCGGGTTCATGCCATTCTCCTGCCTCAGCCTCCCGAGTAGCTGGGACTACAGGCGCCCGCCACCTCGCCCGGCTAAGTTTTTGTATTTTTAGTAGAGACGGGGTTTCACTGTGTTAGCCAGGATGGTCTCGATCTCCTGACCTCGTGATCCGCCCGTCTCGGCCTCCCAAAGTGCTGGGATTACAGGCTTGAGCCACCGCGCCCGGCCTATGTTTCTTAAAAGTCAGAACAATTGCCTGTTGATAATTAATAAGACATTAAAGTCAAATTTTAAAGTTGGCTTCTCAAATGATTTGGATACCACTCTGCAAAGTATTTCTAACCTTTAATTCCCAGTTTTGAAGCATTACCAGATATAATAATAGCATTAATTGGAATGTACTAGGCAGCTGGAAAAGTATTTGAAACTAAATCGACATTAAAATTAAGATTTGTTTTCAAGTGGATGTCTATTCAAAGTAGAAAAATATTTGGGATAAGTGTGTGTTTCCTTACATGGCTACTAAATAAAATGAGTATACAAGTATATCTCCTCTTTTGCTATTGAGGCTCCATGTTCAAAGCAATGGCTTTTTAAATCTTGGCTATCTAAAACTTTTTCCCTTTGTTTTGAATATTTGTAAGTTTTAAAAAAATTAGTGTCAGCAAATTAATTGAAGTTATGCTTCTATACTGGGACATATTTAAATACTGAGTATAGTACTGCTGCTACTGCTTCTACAATGTAAAATGTATGACTTGGTGTTTTAAAGTAAAAATTATGATGTTACTTGTGGAGAAACTAAAAAAGTTACACAACTGACTGAAATAAAATACTTGGGATAAGTTTAGTGAGGGGATTGGAATCCCCAAAAAACTAACATTTTTCTTCTGCTTTTAAAAATTGAAGTTCCCTATTTTAGTTCCTAACAATTCTCGTTACATACTATGCCAGATTACAAAATACTTATTTTTAAAATGAAATCTATATATTGACTTTCTTATCAATCATCTTACTGTGCAATCAAAATTAGAGTACTTTGGTTTGAAAACAACACTTAGAGCCTCCAGATAACTTTTAAGACTTATTTAGCTTTGTGGGTGGTATTTTCATGCAAATAAGTAAGGGTGGGTTTTATATTTTGTAGAAGTTTTCGGTCCTATTTTAATGCTCTTTGTATGGCAGTATGTATATAGTGTGTTAAGTTCCTCAAGAATCTCCTTAAAAACTTTGAAGTTAATACTTTTGTGCAACTGTGTTTTGAATAAAGCCATGACAGTGTTAAAAACAAACAAAAAAATTTGCAGTACTCCTGATTATTCTTTTATTGTTTCTGACTGTTCCCTGTTTTTTTCTGTGACTGCTGTAACTTAAAGTTTTAAAACTGAATTGCTTCAAATAAATTGAAGATTTGTTATAATGATTAGTTTCAGTGTATAACATTCACTTTTTCAACAATACCATTAGTGGCTTTGAAGGTCTTTTTAAAAACTAACAGCTTGAAAGTTAACTCATTTAAATACTCGGATGTGATATAAGGCATTACAATTTATTTATTTATTTTTTGAGACGGAATCTTGCTCTGTCACCAGGCTGGAGTGCAATGGCGCGATCTCGACTTACTGCAACCTCTGCCTTCCGGGTTCAAGCGATTCCCCTGCCTTAGCCTCCTGAGTAGCTGGGACTATAGGCATGTGCCACTACGCCTGGCTAATTTTTTTGTATTTTAGTAGAGACAGGGTTTTACCGTGTTGGCCAAGATGGTCTCGATCTCCTGACCTCATGATCCACCTGCCTCGGCCTCCCAAAGTGCTGAGATTACAGGCATGAGCCACTGCTCCCAGCTGGCATTACAATTTAATAGTTTAACTCATCATCTTCTTTATTAACTTTTTTTTTTTTTTTTTGAGACAGAGTTTCACTCTCATTGCCCAGGCTGGAGTGCAATGGCGCCATCTTGGCTCGCTGCAACTTCCGCTTCCTGGGTTCAAGAGATTCTCCTGCCTCAGCCTCCTGAGTAGTTGGGATTACAGGCATGCGCTACCATGCCCAGCTAATTTTGTATTTTTAGTAGAGATGGGGTTTCGCTTTTTTGGTCAGGCTGGTCTCGAACTCCCTGACCTTAGGTGATCCACCGGCCTCAGTCTTCCAAAGTGTTGGGATTACAGGTGTGAGCCACCACACCTGGCCTTCTTTATTAACTTCTTTTCCAAAAGGCAGAAGAAAAATCTGGATTCTCTTAATTTTCCTTTTGGGGTTACAAACTGAACCAGTACTTTTTGCAGTTTGATTTGAAGTAATTACCTATACTTGTATTATCTGTGGTTTATTAAAGTGATTATAAGACTATTGTATATCAATAGTATTTTCTAAAATGAATCCAGAGTTCTCCAATTATACTGCATGTTTATCTTCTGAATCTTGATAATATAAATGGAAATATACATAATACTTAAATGTTTATTAGAGCAAAATCAAACTTGAAACTATGTTTTTTCTGCTCTCTTTTTTTTTTTGGTTTCCCTATGGTAAGTGATTTTTAAAATGTTTCATATGTAGACAACTGGAATTTTATAGTCAAGGCACAAGTATAATAATGTTTTCATGATTGCTTTACAGTTTAATATTGAAAAGGTATTTTAATTATTGAACTCTGCTTCCTGAGAGATGGAAAATATTGAAGTATTTTCAACTAAGGGTATTATTTACTGAAATTAATATGTTTTTTGCAGGTATTATTGTCTTTAAAAAATTCAAAGCCTTTCACCTCTTGGTTACAGAGAATGGCAGAACCACACAAAGTTTTTGATGAAGTTGTTAGATAATGAAGCAATTCAGTGAGAGAGTGTGATTGAAGACACCTTTAAATATAGTTTGTTCAGGCCGGGCGCGGTGGCTCAAGCCTGTAATCCCAGCACTTTGGGAGGCCGAGACGGGCGGATCATGAGGTCAGGAGATCGAGACCATCCTGGCTAACACAGTGAAACCCTGTCTCTACTAAAAATACAAAAAATTAGCCAGGCGAGGTGTTGGGTGCCTGTAATCCCAGCTACTCGGCAGCCTGAGACAGGAGAATGGCATGAACCCGGGAGGCGGAGCTGGCAGTGAGCTGAGATCTGGCCACTGCACTCCAGCCCTGGCGACAGAGCGAGACTCTGTCTCAAAAAAAAAAAAAAATATATATATATATATATATAGAGAGAGAGAGAGAGAGAGAGAGAAAGAGAGAGAGTTTGTTCTATATTTTAAAGAGAGGCTTTGGAATGTGACATGCTTTCAGTTGCTGAAAATTTCCCCTCTCTTGTTTCTAGTACTGGATGCAATGATATTCTGCAGCTGTTGCTTAATTATAGAATTCTATTACTGCATGCCTTTTTCATGTACTAATTCAGCCTAAGATTTGAGAACCTGGCATGGGTACTTCCACCTGAGGTAGTTACTTGTATTACTAACCCTAACTTGAAGGAGAATGGTTACACCACACAATGGAAATTACAAAATGAGTTGATCTCCAGGAGAATTGTTTTTTTTTTTGAGACTAGTCTTGCTCTGTCACCCAGGCTGGAGTGCAGTGGCACGGTCTTGGCTCACTGCAACCTCTGCCTCCAAGGTTTAAGGGATTCTCTTGCCTCAGCCTCCTGAGTAGCTGGGATTACAGATACGTGCCGCTATGCCCCACCTGGCTTTTTTTAATTTTTATTTTTAGTAGACATGGGGTTTTACCATGTTGCCTAGGCTGGTCTCGAACTCCTTTCCTGAAGAGACCTGACTGTCTCGGCCTCCTAAAGTGCTGGGATTATGGGGGTGAGCCACCGCACCTCACCTAAAATACTTTATTTCATATAATTCTAGTCACATTTTTGGATAGTAAGACCCTGAAGTAGGGTTATCCCATAATACCCTGGGGCCCGGTACGGTGGCTGAGGCCTGTAATGCCAGGACTTTGGGAGGCAGAGGTGGGCAGATCACCTGAGGTTGGGAGTTCCAGACCAGCCTGGCCAACATGGCGAATGCTCGTCTCTACCAAAAATACAAATATTAGCCAGGCGTGGTGGGGCTCACCTGTAATCCCAGCTACTCCGGAAGCTGAGGCAGGAGAATCGTTTGAACCCAGCAGGCAGAGGTTGCAGTGAGCCAAGACTGCCACTGTACTTCAGCCTGGGCAACATAGCAAGACTCCGTCTTAAATAAATAAATAAATACTCCAAAACCCGGGTTAATAAAGAATCAGAAGCAGGTATGACCTTTTCTAACTTTATGAATATTTACAAATAATTCAAATTTTTGTTTGGACTTGGTCACTTATAATATGGACACATCCATGTTAATGGTTAATACTGACACAAGCCACCAAATAGGCATATAGCTCTAGTGAAAACTACCTGTGGTAGCTTCAAGAAGTAACTTTGACACTGTAAACTTCTCCCTATTATTATTATTTTTATTTTTATTTATTTTTATTTTTTTAGACTGAGTTTGACTCTTGTTGCCCAGGCTGGCGTGCAATGGCGCGATCTCGGCTTACTGCAACCTCCGCCTCTCAGGTTCAAGCGATTCTCCTGCCTCAGCCTCCAGAGTGGCTGGGATTACAAGGCGCCTGCCACCTCGCCCAGCTAATTTTCTCTATTTTTAGTAGAGATGGGATTTCACTTTGTCGACCAGGCTGGTCTCAAAGTCCTGACCTCAGGTGATCCACCCACCTCGGCCTCCCAAAGTGCTGGGATTACAGGCGTGAGCCACCGTGACCGGCCTCCTATTAAAAAAATTTTTTTTTAATGTTTTTTATGGCAGCATACTGATAATTTTTCTATTAAATAAACTGCACCATCTTGCTGATGACAAAGGCTACAATCTGTTTTCCGCTTTGGTTGTGACTTTTCCTGGCTAGAGTCACTCCCCAGAATTAGCTCACAGGGGCTACAGGGTTTCTCCCACTTGGAGGGATTTTCTCCCAGAGTCCATTTCTCTTGGCACTAAGTAGACACCAACAGTGTAGTCAGTGGCTTTCAAAGCCATTTATATAGAGAGCTGTGACTGCGGCATTCTGGGGTCCGTAGAAGAATCTGTAAGTGTAATGGAAGGAACTGCAGTTGAAACTACTAGAGAACCAATGGCAGCAGCACCAGAGGAAACTAAGGGAAGCAGCAGTCCCTGTCACTGCAAGTCTGCAGCGAAGCTCCTGTGAGTTCAGCGCTTTGAGCTGTGTTGCACTCTGCTCTACACAGGCCACTTTTCTGAGAATATGCTGAGTTAAAAACGAACTCAATTTTGGAGTGCGGAGGATTTATTATCTGTGGGGAATTAGTTAAATCTTTCTGAAAAGGATTACGGGTGAGAAATTTTTTCAGTAAATTGGATAATTTTACCAACACATTTTTTTTTCCTTTTTTTGGAGACAGAGTCTTACTCTGTCGCCCAGGCTGGAATGCAGTGGCACGATCTCGGCTCACTGCAACCTCCGCCTTCCTGGTCCAAATGATTCTCCTGCCTCAGCCTCCTGAGTAGTTGGGATTACAGGCGCGTGCCACCATGCCCAGCTAATTTTTGCATTTTTAGTAGAGATGGGGTTTCACCATGTTGGCCAGGCTGATCTCGAACTCCTGACCTTGTGATCCGCCCGCCTCAGCCTCCCAAAGTGATAGGATTACAGGCGTGAGCCACCGTGCCCGGCCTGCCAACAAGTATTTTTACCAAGCCATGTATATTGGGGGTATGTGACATGAACCACTGCTAGGCTTCCTGGGCTGTAGCATTCAGTACGTGAAGGATTAGAGCTCTAGAACTCAGCCTCATCCATTTTGCTTTTTACCCAATTCCCTTTATTTCAGGGAAATGAGGAAAGGACTCCAGTTTTAAGATTAAATTCCTCTAAGCCCTGTTTCCCCGTCACACTCCACTGGGTTGGACCAACCACATGTTATCTCACATCACTACTTCAGATTTTTGATGGGCTTGAATAGACAGATTGGGAGATTTTAAATGCTTAAACTGACAAAGTGACCTTTGGGGGTACGTTTCCAGGTACGTTATCTGTCATCGTCCTAGGGGACACTTGCCTTTAAAAATTTTTCATCTTTATTTCTCCAATCCTCAACCCCTGAGATACAGATAAAACTTTTTTCTGGGGGAGTGCTATTTTTATAATAGGGCGCCCTCCAGCGATTCTGGAATCTCAAGCAATAGAATAGAATTCGAGCGTCTTGCGGAGAGAGCAATGTTATTTTAGTCGATGGAGGAAAAAAAAAGTGCTGATCACTTTAGAGTGTGTCTGTAATGTAATTCCTGGAACACAGGCAACAATTTCTGCGAAGGCAAATTTTTAGATTCAAGAACAGAGTCGAAAAGCCAGAAGCAATAGTGGAGGTCAAGACTCGGAAAGGATCCCGGCAACCCGAATTGCTCTACAGAGTGCTTTCCGAAACCGTCTTGGATTGGGCCAGAAATGCCGCAACCCCGGTCACGTGATCCCGGCCGGTCCTCCGCCCCTAGATAACCTACGGCTGGCTAGCGCCCGCCAAAGCGGTCAAAGTCAGAGACCTGCGCATGCGCGGAGCGCGGGAGGCCTGGGGAAAGCGCTTTGGATATTACTTCCGCTTCGCTTCCTCTGGGCAGGTCCAGCTTACTTGGACTGAAACTCGTGGGTCAGGTCTTTAGGACCTTCCTTTTCTTTCCTGTCTTTTCCATTTTGTAATCCTTGCTTAATGATTAACAAAGCTTTTGTTTTCTTAATTTTTTTTTTTTTAAATACACATGGAGTCTTGTTCTCTTGCCCAGGTTGATCTCGAACTCTCGAACTCAAGCGATCCTCCTGCTCGGCCTCCCAAAGTGCTGGGGTTCCAGGCGTGAGCCACCGTGCCTGGCCTTATTTTCTTTCTAATTTTATTTCCAGTATTGCATTATTCTAAACCCCACATTGACGAATATCATCCACCTGCTCAGCAGCTATAAATGGTGGAGTTAGGTAAGTTTTCAAGTTCTCTAAGGTGGAAATGAGGGCTGATCATGTGTGTGGTTTATGAAGTGCTGCGTTTGCAGCTGAGGCCACTTTCGCTTCTGTCACTTGTTTGTGCACAGTCTGGTTCAAGTTTGCACTTAGGTGACCTCTGCTAAGGGGACTTCTCTTCTTGTCCCCAGGGGCTAGCCTACTATTCCACGTTGTTTCTACTCCTATTTTTCTTCTATTTTATTTTATTATTTATTTATTTATTTTGTGAGACGTAGTCTTGCTCTGTCGCCCAGGCTGGAGTGCAGTGGCGCCATCTCGGCTCACTGCAAACTCCGCCTCCTGGGTTCACGGCATTCTCCCGCCTCAGCCTCCCGAGTAGCTGGGGCTACAGGCGCCCGTCACCTCGCCCGGCTAATTTTTTGTATGTTTAGTGGAGACGGGATTTTACCGTGTTAGCCAGGATGGTCTCAGTCTCCTGACCTCATCATCCGCCCGCCTTGGCCTCCCAAAGCGCTGGGATTACAGGCGTGAGCCACCGCACCCGGCCTTTTCTTCTATTTTAAAGCCAGCATTGCTGAATTGAACAGTCAAGTTGGTACCTAAGAACGAATCAGTTCTGGAAAATATTGGAGCAACCAACTACCCAGAGGGAAACCGTTGAAAAATGACATGTAGCCCACATGTAAAGTGATTAAGAGCTTTAAGATACATATGTAGAATCTTTTTCCTCTCTTTCCGAAGGAAAGAATGGATCCACTGAGGGAAACTTTGTAGAGGTCACTGTGTGAGAGTATTAACATTTTTCTTCTGTTAATTAGGACGACTAAATTATAGTTTGTTAGAAGTGTCTTAAACTATTGAAGAAAACTGTCATCAAATTATACTTTTTTTTTTTTTTTGAGACGGAGTCTCGCTCTGTTGCCAGGCTGGAGTGCAGTGGCACGATTTCGGCTCACTGCAACTTCCACCTCCTGAGTTCAAGCGATTCTCCTGCCTCAGTCTCCAGAGTAGCTGGGACTACAGGTGCGTGCCACCACATGATGAAACCCCGTCTCTACTAAACGTACAAAAATTATATGTTTTATTGGAATCAGTCACCTTTTAGAGAATATTTGCTTCAGTTTTTCTTGTGCAACCGAAAGGTGTCCTTGATGCTATGGAAGAAGAGAATAATTAAATTTGAAATCTTGTATACACAATTTTTATTAAAACGTCAAAGGACAGTTACATGTTTCTATAGAATTAGCATATATATATGCTCAATCAATCAATCATCTATCTATCATCTCTCTATCTAGAGAGAGAGACAGGGTCTGTTACCCAGGCTGGAGTGCAGTGGCTATTCACAGGCACGATCCTGCTACTGATCCGCAGGGGAGTTTTGACCTGCTCCGTTTCCAGTCTTGGCCAGTTCACCCCTCCCTTAGGCAACCTCGTGGTCCCCTGTTCCTGGGAGGTCACTATGTTGATGCCGAACTTAGTGTGGACACGCGATTGGTATAGCACACTACGGCCCAGAACTCCTGGGCTCAAGCCATCTCCTGCCTCAGCTTCCCAAGTAGCTGGGACTACAGGCAGGGGCCACGGCGCCCGGCAAAGTTAGCAAATATTTAACTGCAGTAAAACTAATGTCAGTAGTTTCTCAGGCATTTTCATTGGCTTTTACAAAGTCACAAAATTGCGTAAAATGAGGGCCATTTACTTTATTTAAAAATAAGAGGCCTAGCGCTGTGGCTCACGCCTGTAATCCCAACACTTCGGGAGGCCGAGGCGGGTGGATCAGAAGGTCAGGAGTTGGAGAGCAGCCCGGCCAATATGGTCAAACCCCGTCTCCACTAAAAAATACAAAAATTAGCCGGGCGTGGTGGCACGTGCCTGTAGTCCCAGCTGCTCAGGAGGCTGAGGCAGGAGAATCGCTTGCACCTGGGAGGTGGAGGTTACAGTGAACCAAGATCGTGCCACTGCAGTCAGGCCTGGGCGACTGAGTGAGACTCTGTCTCAGAAAACAAACAAACAAAAAAGAGATGAGAATATTCTTGGATTTTAAGAAGCCAAGATTTTCTACTGGGTAATAGCATTTCTCAGAAAAGACTTTTTCTTTCGACGGACTAAATATTTAGGAAATTTTTTTTTCTTCTTATATTGAGGGATTGTATTTTCAGTATTGTTTTGATGTTGCCACAGTATTTAAAAAAATAATTATTAGCAGGTGAAGACAATGTGAATTTGTTGTTTACAACCCGTAGGACATTGAGGAGCTACTTGCTGAGAGAGGAGCTACTACCATCTGGTCTCTGCTATGAGGCCAAAGCACTACACTGGTCCCATGACAAACCTACTTTTCTTTTTGTGTCATCTATTTTCCTTTCCACTGCTATTCTATATCAGCCTTGAGGTTGCTATTGGAGTTGAGGGACAAATAAGAGGTCATATAATGTAGGCCATCGCATAATGATGAAATATCAATTCTGTGGTCTGTCTCTAAGGCTCTGTCCTTGATAATAAAATACAGTGTGCTGTAATAGTTATCAAGCTTCCACTCCATATCATTAGGTTATTAGCTATTAATTAGATGTCACTTGCCATTTTTGCTTTACATGACTGTAAATAACTGCTGTCTTTCAGGTCTTTATGTACTCAATTTTTATAAGCAGTTTGTAATTAACATATTAAGAAAAAAACCATGGAGAATTATGTACAAATCCTTTTCAAGGCAAGCAGTCTTATAGCTATGATCAAAGGCATAAAATGCAGAATATTTAACAAATTTAAAAAATCCTTTGTTTAAGGAACATAAGTGATAGGAAAACAAAGATGAATGCTACCAACTCTACCTCTTGAAAAACACAGCCTGAACCCAAGATTATAAACCAAGAGCGAAATTGCAGGCAGAGAAATGGCTGAACTGACAGCTTGTGCCTAGAAAGCTCAGAAGATGCCAAAACTTTGATTTGCTCACTTCAGTGAAGGCTTGATGCTTCATTTTGCAGGGCTATGGAAGGAGAATATGTATTTGAGTTTGTAAATACAAAAATAGATCAATATAGGAGGGACAGACTTGTGCCAAGAAATTCACCAAAGTCAGATTTCTAAACCAAGGTGTCAATTCATTAATTTACAGGGAGATTGTATATTTACGTTGACTATGGTATTATTGTTCAGTGTTCTAAATTGGTGCTCTTTTTTTGTGTGTGTGTCTTTTTTTTTTTATTATTATACTTTAAGTTCTAGGGTACATGTACAGGTTTGTTACATATGTATACATGAGCCATGTTGGTTTGCTGCACCCATTAACTCGTCATTTACATTAGGTATATTACCTAATGCTATCCCTCCCCCCTCCCCCCTCCCCACAATAGGACCTGGTGTGTGATGTTCCCCTTCCTGTGTCCAGGTGATCTTATTGTTCAATTCCCACCTATGAGTGAGAACATGCGGTATTTGGTTTTCTGTTCTTTTTTTTTTTTTTTTTTTGAGACGGAGTCTCACTTTGTCCCCTTGCTGGAGTGCAGTGGCCGGATCTCAGCTCACTGCAAGCTCCGCCTCCTGGGTTCAGGCCATTCTCCTGCCTCAGCCTCCCCAGTAGCTGGGACTACAGGCGCCCGCCACCTCGCCCGGCTAGTTTTTTTGTATTTTTTAGTAGAGACGGGGTTTCACTGTGTTAGCCAGGATGGTCTCGATCTCCTGACCTCGTGATCCACCCGTCTCGGCCTCCCAAAGTGCTGGGATTACAGGCTTGAGCCACCGCGCCCGGCCTGGTTTTCTGTTCTTGTGATAGTTTGCTGAGGATGATGGTTTCCAGCTGCATCCATGGTGCTCTTTAATAGAAATATAATTCTGTCAAAAATGCAAGTTGGTGGGGTTTGGTGGCTCTCACCTATAATCCCAGCACTTTGGGAGGCCGAGGCGGGTGGATCACCTGAGGTCAGGAGTTGGAGATCAGCCTGGCCAACATGGTGAAACCCCATTTCTACTGAAAATACAAAAATTTGCCAGGCATGGTGGCGGGTGCCTGTAATCCCAGCTACTCCGGAGGCTGAGGTAGGAGAATTGTTTGTGCCTGGGAGGCAGAGGCTGCAGTGAGCCAAGATCGAGCCACTCTACTCCAGCGTGGGTGACAGAATGAGACTCTGTCTCAAAAAAAAAAAAAAAAAATGCAAGTCACAGATGTATTTAGAATTTTCTAGTAGACATATTTAAAAAACTAAAAGGAAACAGGTAAAATTAATTTTAATGTATTTTAATTAACCCAATGTATTCAAAATATTATACTTTCTACATGTAATCAATATAAAAAATCATTAGTAAGATTTTTTGTATTTTTTTTCATACAAAGTCTTCCAAATCTGGGACGAATTTTATGCTTACAGCACATCCCAATTCAGATAGTCACTTTTCTTTCTTTCCTTCTTTCTTTCTTTTTTAACAGAGTTTTATTTTTATTTAGTTACTTTCTTCTTTTTTTTTCTTTTTATAAAGATGGGGTCTCACCATGTTGCCCAGGCTGGTCTCAAACTCCTGGGCTCAAGTGATCTCCCTCCTTGGCCTCCCAAAGTGCCTGGATCAGCCACATTTCGAGTGCAGTAGTCATGTTGCTAGGTGAAGGTCTCATGTATCCTTTCTAGGAAAGGTAACTGAGAGGCCAAGTGCACAATCAGAATCCTCTCAGGTGAGCATAGAATCAGAGGAGAGGGTGCTAGATGGTCTTTAGCGATATTTTATGTATTTGACAAGTATGAGGAACCTACCCTGATTCACACTAGCGTATTCTTTCTAGAGGTTTTAGTATTTGTTGTGTTTAGTTTATCTCACCTTGGCAGCAGTACACTCAGCACTACTAGACTAATGCTGCCAAATTCTTGCTTCCTTTGATTCTATGTAAATTACTTTATTCTATTAACATACTTTCTATTTTTTTTTCCTTTTTTTTTTTAGACAGAGTCTCGCTCTGTTGCCCAGGCTGGAGTGCAGTGGTGTGATCACGGCTCACTGCAAACTCCGCGTCTCAGGGTTGA